AATGAATAATGTTTGTTTCAGTGAACATGCTCGTAATTCATCGAGTGTACCGATTTTTTATTCATCGAATTATGAGGATACGCTCTTGATGGGATGCGGTTTGGATAGTGCAACCGTACGACGAGATGCACCGTCATTTTTCGACATGGATTCAACCAGCTTACCTGTCCTATATTCGCCATCGTTTTCTAGCAACATCGAGCCCTCTCTAGATCGAGGAGAACAGTGTTCTGACACTGATCATGATTGCTTCTTTGAAAGTGGTAAGAATTTTGAGAATTCGGTTGATAGTTGCTTCAGTCTGGAATCCAGTCAACCTCAAGGTGTGTATTTATCGAGCCATCCTCCTTCAGTGGCCTGCTGCCTCGTTAAGCACTTTAGTCAAATTTTTCAACATGGTTTCAATGTGTATCAACCCGATGCTTGTAGCGAAGAAAATTCAGTTGCTCCTGTTGGTGTCTTGGATTCTTCAGTAAGGCTTCCTGAACAGATTGTCACAAATCTTTTGAGAGCTCATCATATTCGTCAGGTACCAGCAGATTCCCATCAAAACTCTGTTCGTTCGAATTCGGAAACCAACAAAAGCAATCAGTTATCTGGCGGTATGCGTGTACCGTTGTCGTCTACGAAGCCAACACATTCTTTCGAACGAACTTCTCAGTCAACGAGCTCAATCAAAAGACCCACTGTACGAGAGTTACGTAATTGTTCGAAGCCAGCACTCACCTCAAAGCGGTATCGTCTGAAGAAGATGCGAAAATTATTGAAGTATGACCGATGTATTCGTGCTCAACGAGAACAAATTGCCTTGCTTAAACAACAAAATGGTTTGAGGGAGATAAAGCTGATGAGAATGCAGCACACTCTGAAATGTTTGAAAGAATTTGTTTGCACCAATCACTTGCCAGCTTCACCAACAACGAACGATCTAATAAATGCACTTATTGGTACTAGTATTTTTGATGAACTGAATGAATCTTTGTAAAGCTCATCGCAGTTAAGAAATTTGTCATCACGCAATCACCATTCGAGTTTCTTCAGTGTTTTTCCATTAATTCAACGCAAATATTCACCGAAATTACATCCCACTTCGCATTTTCGCATGACAATTGAGCAGAGTGGTGAATTGAACGTATCAGATCAGCTAATTATGAAGAATATAGCTGAAACGGACTGTGTCAAAGAAGATGCTGATGTGAAGAGTGACTCATGATCAGTCATATCATCTTCAGATGCTGACAGTACCAGTGACTAGATCGCAGACGAGATGAATATCCAAAATGCGTGATTTGAATGCAGTCACACGTTACTTGAAGTGAAGCTCGCACCGTGCCATTTACATGCACGAAAGCCTTCGATTGCGATATCTGTCAGTTCATTTTGTGAAATGTTCCTGTGTAATTGAGTTCTATGATTGGCGGAATTTTTCGATATGTCAGCTGTCCAATTCATGTGATAAATTCTTCTGCTTCCTCTCCTCTAGGCATTTTTTTTTCATCAGTTCTATAGATTAACATCAACATTACCGAATTAGTATCGTGTTTGTTTTGAGTGTGTTGTTATTTGTTGATGGGTTTTCTTGTGCAGTCGAATTTG